CGTGGAAGCATATTTCTAGCTTTTGGACTCTTTTGAGATTCATTCCCTAGTCAAGTCTTCCTTTTTCTCTTTAGTAGTAAACCACTATTTTAAAAGTGAAAAAAAAAAATGTAATACTGAAAAAAGAATCTGGAAAATATTATGTGAATTGTTTTCCTTTCAAATATTAGCATTTAATGTCTTTTCCTTTTAAGATTCGTTTGTTATTGATTATATAGACCAGACCTTGAATTTATTTCTTTTTCCTGTATCTACAGCATGGATTGATGAGCTTCTCAGAAAGCCAAAAGAGCAGATAGCTAAAGGCAGACCTGATGGCCAGGTTTTATTTAAGAAATATTTATTGTGTATATTTTGTAAATGTGAAAAAAATGCTTGTGAAGTTTAAAGAAAGGTATGTGTGGGTATATACAGTAAAGTTCCTTATGCTCTTAACAGTTGTTTGGCTTGTGAAAACTACAGGAATTCAGTTACACTGACTAATGCTTGACTTTAAAACTTAGGCTTAGTTTGCATAGTTAAAATCAAGACAATATATTTCCCATAACTTTTCAAAACTGCTTTGTCACTAGCACCAGTGTGCATTTCTTGTAGCTTTCCTTTACAGTACCGGATCAGGTTGTGAGACCATTTAATATGTACTCTTCTCGGATGTGATATTTTGTTTGCTACTGCTACTACCACTTAAGCAAATTACATAGGTTTGTGTGTGTGTGTGTGTGGAACCGGGCATTGAACCCAGGCCTTTGTGCTTGCCAGGGAAGCGCTTATTCCACTGAGCCATCTCCCCGGACCCTATAAGGATTTTTTTTGCTCCGAATGCCTTCAGGGCAGGTTTGGCAGGCTTGAGTTGTGGGGATCAAACCACAGCAACCTGAGCCTGACTGCTTTGTTGAAGTAGCCACTTAAAGAACTGAACTAAGGGGCAGGCCCCCCAAATTACATAGTTTTAATGAAAATGAAGTCCATAGTTTAGTACATTTTATGTGTAGGTCTCAGTTATTCTAACACATCTTACATGCTTTATCTATAGAAATATTACACAAATATAGGATAAATTTGAAAGGCACAAATGAGCCAATTGGATTGTTTTTCTGCTTTATAGATTGAGCCTATTTTTTTTGAGCTTATTATTTTTGAAACTATTTCTACCTCCATTTTCACCTTATAAAAATAATTAGTGTATGTCTCTTTAATGTAGCACCAGTTTTATTTTAAGGGCCTGCTTTATCTGATGTTCAGTACAGGCTATTTATTTGGCATCAGCTTTGCAGTTTGGCAAAACCACTCAAACTGAACCACAGTGCTTGAGCTCTGTTAGCAGATTGATTAAGGCGGCCAGAGTCATGGCGAGCGCCAAGGTTACAGACTTCCTGCATCTTCTTCCCCCCTCTGTTGCTAAAATGAGATAAAAGCCTTATGCAAACAGCAGCTTTAGCCACCGAGGCAGGTAATGCTATTGATTCCCTAGTGAATTCCATAAATTGTCAGGAACCTTAAGACTAGCTCATGGTGAAAGGACACAGCTTTGTTGGAGTAATGTAAAAAATGTTGCTAGAAACCATCGTTATTATCCACAGACATCTCTCATATTTATTTATTTTGCTTTTGAGTGGGACAGAAGTTTTCTAAACAGTTTGGCCAATGTGGGTTAAATCTAAGATTTTACTATATAGAAATAACTGAAATAATTTGTTTTATGCTCATAGTTGTTTTTAAAAATTCTTTTAGAGAATGGTTACTTTTGAGTGCATATTGTCCCAATATTAAGACCACAGGGTAACCCAGAGCACTTAAATGCTTTTCAGAACAAGGTGTTTTCTTGGTCTGTGTTTATCGTTTATGTGAATTCTGTGTACTGGGAAATGTCTTTACTTTTCAGCAGTCCTAGTGGCTTAATCCCATGAAACTATGTCAGGCGTCCTGTGCTCTTGTCGAGAGCACAGTTTTATAGTTTCTCAAATGATAAAGATATTTGGAAGACAGCTTTTCTCTTCATACCTCATGGCTCATTGAAAGACCAAACTTCATTTCTGTTCTTCATTAGTTTGGTCCAGTTATTTCCTTTTCTCCTTCAAATTGGTAGTTATTTCTTGCCCTCTGTTTGAATTAGAGATCCTGTGATTTCTTTTAAGAAAATATTACAAGTGAGGAAATGACATTCAACCTGTATCATGGGATACAAATATATATATAACAAACGGGCAGTGTCTGTCTTAAAAAGTATATTTATGAATTGAGTCCCTGGTTCTAGAATGATATATTAGACATCTACTATACATAAGACATTTTGCTAGGTGCTAAACTTTAAACTTTATTGAAAGAATCTCTGTTTAATTTGAGCCTCTATAATTTCAGACATTAAAATGAAATTTTAAATTGTATAACTACTTGAGGGTGTTTTTCAATTTTTTGATCTTAACATGTATTTATTGAGATGAGAAGGTATCCATTATACTCCATGATGTGAAGATTTTTCTCCAGCATTTTTTACATTGTTTAAATAAAATAGTATTGATTTATTTATACAACCCCAAATACTTTGAAACAGTTTGCACCTTCTTAGCTATAGTGACCATTTTAGAATATTTGTCTGCAACTAGCTGATATATGTGTGTGTTGTATGATTGTCTCCAACAAAAACAGCAAATCATATTTATTTCCTTCATGTTCAGTTGTCCAAGAAGCATTGTCTTCAGTGTTGTGAGTTGTGAAATGTTTGTTTTCTAAGCAATAGTTGTTAATTACTTGTGGACAAATATTTATTACTTACTAAGTGGAAGATACCATGGTAAGCATTGATTTGTTTCATTTTACTCCACAATCATCACAATGAAAATTCTAGTATTTACATCAAGTTTCAAGAAAAGACAACGTAGGGTGGCTCAGTTCATCTGATTTCAGAAGCCCCTGGGACCCCTTATTGTGTGCGTTTGAGCTAGTTGTCCAATGTCTCTACAGCTTTGAGGTTTCCTTACCTGTAGAAGTGGGGGGGGGGAATGGTATCCAACTCAAGGCCTCATGAGGATTTAAAGACATAATCTACGTCTAGGTTTAGTTCTGTGCTGGCTACAGAGGAAATGCTCAGTAGCTATCAGGAACTACGTTAGGAAGCCAAATTACTTGAGTTTCCTATCTCCACAGTCCCTGCTTTTTGTGTGCTGGTAGTTGTATTCAGAGAAACCCTGGGCATTTCCATCGTGTCTCACATTCAGTTTGCCGGTTTCACTGAATATGATCTAGTTTGCAGCTTTCAGTGACACACAGATAATGTGTTGGGAAGTGTCCAATATTCTGTAACTGGTCCTTATGCTCCAGGCTGCTGAGGAATGGTGGCACAGTGCACACCCAAAAAGTGTCCAAGGACAGTGAGGTGTCTGAAAAGACCTTGACATTTTATTTGTGTTTGTGAACTGCTGTTAGCATTGATTGAACTTGGCTAAATCCATATGAATTTCAACCACAAGCAAGGATGAAAGGTGCTTTGTTCTCTGCCTCCTGGGCCAGCTTGGGAGCTTGGGCAAAAGGGCTGCCGTGTGGATCTCCTTTGAAAGGCTACAGGGTAAGGTGTTTCAAAAATATAGTTTTCAAGTTTTTCTTAATGTGCACAGTTTTGGGAGCTGAAAATATTAAGTCCTTGGTCTTGCCTAGAGTTTAGTTTGAAACTAACAAGGAAAATGTAACAGGCCTTGCAAATGTAACATGAGTTAGCTGGCCTCGATTCAGCCCTGAACAAATGCCTACA